GAGCTGTTGACCTGTGGTTAGAAGTCCAGTGCTTATCATACAAAGCCACCAGTGCTCCTCCCATAAAGATAACAGCCTAGAAAACTCTATGAGGCAGTTCTACTTTGGCATATTGGATTGATATGACTCAGAATTGATGTGATGGTAAACGACAACAAGCGACAACAGATGGAATAAAGATACAAATATCAGTGCTAATTTCACCACCCAGTATAGTTTTTCTGTAAGATAGAAATAGAATGCTAACTGCCAGGTTGGTGGTTCAAACCTACCAGATGTTCCTCAAAAACCATATACAGGGTTGCTATGAGTTAGAATTGACTCTATAGCTTTTAAAAATAAATAATAATATTAGCTTTCAATTGATCTCTCTTCCACTTTCTTTGTCATAGCAGAAACATTATAAAATGCCACAGAAACTAAAGCTTTGATTTCCTTCAGTCTTCTCCCAGGACCACTGGTGCACTACCCGAGGTGTGACCTGAGACTCCAGGCTGAGAGGTGATGCCCTAATTTAGTCTGGGACAAACAACAAAGTAAGAAGCTAGAATGGAGAGCTCTGATAACTTTCTAGTACTTCCTAGATGGGATATTAATTTCAAGATTTTGTTGTCATACATACAGTAATTTTGGATTTTCAGATGATCAGATATATCCATAATCAAGAAATCATTTCCAGAAGGAAATATGACTGGTTCTTAGAATATTCACTGCTTGAGATTAACTGCCTTGCACTCTACTGCCATGCCTTTTCCAAAGCAAACTTGCAGATAGGTACAAAACAAAATGGCCAACTCACTTTTCCTCTGGCTTCACATCCTGCATTATACGGCTAGCAAAACTCACAGTATTCCTAAGAGCTGATCCACATGGTTGGCCTTGCTCCTGATGGTAGAGCATGTGACTGCATCTTAAGACTTGTGGATAGCTGTCTGTGTGAGTACTTTTTGTGTGTGAACTTAGCTGTGCATATAAAATTTGTTATTTTGAAATTTAAAATAAACTTCAAAGCCCACAGGCACCAAGCTGCTTAGAGAGATTAGTTAATACAACAGACAAGGGTCTGGTTTTGTCAAAGTCAGTAGCATTTGGTGCAAATATGAGCATTGGTTCCAGTGATCTCCATTTTCATCTTCACTGCAATGATTTCCCTGTTTACAGAATATCATAAATTCCTGTCTTGAAGAGGGGAAATACAAAATAGGCGTTAGTACTCTTGAGATCTGAGTTGTGCTTTTCTTACCCATTAGATTGGAACTGGGAAGTAGCATAGGAGAGAATGTTTTAAAAATAAAAAAGGACTTGAATTAGAGGAAGAATATCTCCTCAACTTTGGGAAGTCAGAGGAAAACATTGCAATCCCGCTAATCCCCAGAAGGCACCATTTACTATGCTCTGTTGTCTACGTTGGGAAAAGGCACAGATTGTTTTTTGACACAGTAAACAGCAGATTCCACTGTGGGAATCTTTGCAGTTGGAAACCATAACAACTTAATTTAAAATGTTATAAAGTTTTAATGTATCAGGAGTTTAAGGCAGGCAGTCATATACACATCTTCAGATATACATAACCAGCCATTCACACACACACATACAAATAGTAAAATAGTGTGTAATATTAAAATACCTGCCAGAGTTTTACCTTTGAGTCATGTTTCATAACCAAGACAGAGAACTAAGAAAAGCAAACTATACCAGCATTACAATCAGCAGCAAAATCATACTTGTGCCTTAATAGCATATTACACAACACAATGAGCAACCTTCAGAGAGTTCATCTAAAGAACATTCCTATTATTTAAATACAAAGCAGTTGGCCAACAAGTCAGAGTTTCTATTTGCATTAAAGAAACTGTTGATGCTATAGTCGAATGTTTTGACACACACTTTCACATACTAAGCACTACTTATGGTACAAACCTACAATTCTCTAAAAGAGTTTATTTCCTAGTCATGGAGCAAACTTCACCCATGTGCAGGAAAAACCAAAGGCTGGAGTGGTAAAAATCCCCAGAAGTGCCCTCAGCCCATGATGGATGGGATTTGATATATTAGCTTCTTGACTGCTTGGTTGAGATCATTTTGATGCATATTGCCCCTGGCCTTTCAGAGTTTCCTTCCCATCATACCTGAGCTTCAGCTGCCATCTTGATAATACATCTTTTACTGATTTCTTTCCTGTCCCTTTTCTTATGTCCACACTTCCCTACAGGCATTTCCTGGGATCATCCCTCACACAAACCACTTGTACTCAGAACCTTATAGAGAGATTCACTTCTATGGCAATCCAAAGTAAGTCACAATCTTTAGTCCTTTTACTTTTCAACTAAGATAAAATACAATTTTTATTAAATATTCTGGGGCACATATCACTTGTTACTAGTTCCAAATAAGTATGATGATTCCCAAAAACCATAGTTATGAGATGCCTCCAAATTATTCACGTACTTAATTTGAAGTATAAAGATATTACCTATAACAGTGAGATAAATCTTAAGATCAATAGAAAAACTGAGTATAGAATACAGTTTGAATAGCTTTTGTGGTCATTAATCTGCTTTATTTCTTTTATAATTTCCCAAATATTTTTTCATTAATATATATTTTCCTAACTGCTTTTCTTCTTTGGGCAAAAAAAAAAATGGATTTTCTGGTTTTACTCAAGTCCTAATCAACATATCAAAATTGATATTTACTCAGCATGCATGTTTCAGATATTCATCATTGACTTTTAAAAGCCTATACTATAGTCCTCACAGCTTGTCACCCTGTTGCAAAGATAAGCCTTTAATATATGAAAAAATTTTAAGAGAAATATAAAAAAGTATTCAAGCATAAAATTTTACAATAGTTAGAAGAATTATATGCACAATTATATTCCAAGTGCTATAAAAATAGATTGTAGCAGTTAGTCCTTTAGATGTAAAAAAGGTGGAAACAAGTAAAAAGATACCCGAAAAGAGCTGCAAGACTGAATGCTATTACATCTGTGTCTTTAACCCAATGACTGAAAGACTGTAATTCCTTCTTCATGTCCTTGAATGATTTGGGGTAAAGAACATTAGTATTCTTCCTGGCTATCAATAATTCATTCATTTGATAAACCAACAAACATTTTATAAGCCCATAAAATCAGCAGTAGTGAGCAGGACAAAATTCCTGCCCTCATCCAAGGGAGAAACAATAAATCAACAGTATATCTACTTCAGGTCAGTTGTGGGACCCTGAAGAAAAATAAAGCAGGTACAGTTAGCCTAAAGATGAATGTTTGCAGCATTAGTTTAGATGGAGTGGTAGAAATAACATCTCTAAGGAGTTGTCATTGGAACAGAGGAAGCTGACTCAGGCAAAAAAAAAAAAAAAAAAAAGAGAGAGAGAGAGAGAGAATAAGACATTCTAAGGGAGAGAAAATAACCTGTGCAAAGGCCCTGAGGTACTGGAGGGGCAAGCCTAGCATGTTCAAAGAAAACTAAGAATTAGGTAAGAAAAGCAAGGCCCCATGGTGGTATGATGGTTAAACACTCAGCTATTGGCAGAAAAGTTAGTGGCAGGGGCCCCTTCCCCCAGAAACTCTATTGGAGAAAGATCTGGAGGTCTGCTCTTATAAAGATTATAGTCTAAGAAACTAATGGGGGCAGGCATTCTACTCTGTTACATAAAGTCACTATGAGTCAGAACCAACTTGATGGTACCTGACAAAAACTAACACAAGTAAAGTAAATCAGTCCAGATGAGTAAGTAAAAGGAATGTCACAGGTGATAAAGTGATAGAGGCAGACAGGAACCAGAAACTACAGGATCTGTAAACTGATAGTTTGGATTTTATTGTGAGAAGGATGGGGGGGCTACTAGAAGGTTTAAAAGGTCTCTCTAGCTATTACTAGGAAAATAGATTGTAGTGTATAGAAGCATAATAAAGACCAACTAGAAGGCTTATCCTTGACAGTTGAGAGTTGATGATGGTTGGATTAGAGTGGAAATGATGGAAAAGAATGAAAAATGGGAGAACTTGGATTAGGAAAAAGAAGAATAAAGTAAATGGTGGTGTCAATTATTGAGGTAGGATGATTAGTCAAGAAACAAGTTGATATGGGGCCAGAGATCAATATTCACACTGGAATAAGTTGTATATACAAGTATAAGGCCAATATCTCGGGTTAGAGATACAAACTGAAAGTTATCAGCTTTAGATAGCATTTTAACTTTGAACATTGGGAGCAGGATTTGACAGAGAAAGAAAGAAGTCTGAGGACACTATCCTGGAACATCTCTCTATTCAGACCTTTAAAAGGACAAAGGAGACCAGAAACTGAATCTATGAAGAATCAAGCAGTGTGGTAGAAAGAAAGCACTGGACATTCTTTAGTTTTACTTGCAGCAGGTTCCAAATGAACTGAAATGTGAATTCAGAGTCTCATTGTTTTTGGAAAAGAAGAGAAATAATCTCTTTTGGGGTTATAAAAAGTGATACCCCAAAAGGTTTATTTGTAAAAGTAAGAAGAGGAAGAAATGTTTAGCACAGCTCCTTGGGGATAAGAGGAGGTGGAGAAAAGAAAGACAAACTCCTTGACATTTCTTCTACCACCTTCTCCAGAGGGAAAGCTTTTACCTATTTGGAAGAAAACGGTAGTCTCAGAAGCCAGAGTTGCTGGTCCCACAGCAAACAATGTGAAACACCGAGCATAAGGAATGCTATTCCAGGCCCAGTTGACAAAGCTAGTGACAGGGTTGTTCTTCCTGCTTGTACACAGAGCTGGGCGTGGGAATCTGCACATTTGGCATGGATGCAGGAATTTCATGGAGGGCACAGCAGTGATGCTGTGGTGTATCTTAATCTCTCAACATTCCTATGAGGCAAGTGTATTGGACAGCATATTAGTACAGATTCCAACTCCAAAGCCATTAAACTTCTTTTCAGTATAGCTTGTCCAACTGGGCAAAAATGATCTCACTATTTCCTTCTTGTGAATGCTTCCTTTCCCTACTCAGTTAAAACTTACCAGTGTTGAAAAAAGATCCAGTCCATTCTGCCTCTATTCTTGGAAATACAGAGATTGGTGGAGGAAGGTCCAGGGCACTCCCATCCAGATCCTTGAAGAGATATTTCCTTGGACTTTCGCAATCCAGTTCAGGGCAGACTGCTGTTCCTATGTCTTTCCTGTGAAGATAAGCAAAAAGCAACTCTCTCATCTTATAAAGGTGTTCTGGTGTGGCGCTGTGGGCTAATGCGCTGGACTGCAAGGTTGGTTTGATTGCCAGGTTCCCTGTGTTCAAGTTCACCAAATTATCCTTAGAATCCCTATACAGGGTCACTTTGGGTCAGAACCTACTCAACAGCACTTAACAACAACATCTCATAAAATAGCAAGAAGAAAATGTACAGTGCTATTGCTGGTATTCTGTAAAATGATTTCAGTAGAATTAATAATATGTTACATACATATAAACAAGTCTACATACAATGAATTATTTCCCAGTTTTATAGTCAAGAAGAAACATTTTCTTATTAACCAAATATTCTAACTATCTAGCTACATAATCTTTACATATATTGCTAATTGTCTAGGGTGCAGGACTGAATAAAATACTCCTAATTCTAATATCTAAGGAGCTCAAGTGTCTGTGGGTTAGGTGTTGGGCTGCTAACTTCAAGGTTGGTGGTTCAAACCTACCAACTGCTTTGTGGGAGAAAGATGAAATTGTCTGCTTCTGTAAATAATTACAATCTCAGAAATCCTATATAGGATCACTATGAGTCAGAATCCACTTGATGACTGTGGGTTTGTATCTTTTGATTTAAGCCTATTATGTGCTGTATATAATAGAATTATTTCTTTATGATACTTCAGCACCTTATAGTATTTCAGGATCATTATAAATATCAATTATATTTATACTGGAGTCCTGGTGTGGTGCTGTGGGTTAATGTACTAGACTGCATGGTCATTTTGAACCTCAAGGTCAGCAGTTCAAGCTCACCAGCCACTCCTCAGAAAGCCTATGCAGGATCACTGTGAGTCAGAACTGACTTGATGGCACTTAACAACAATGACATAGACAAAGCTAAGATAGATATTCTCATTCAACAATTATCTATTGAAAACCTACTAACAATAGCCTTGGGATATACAACGATGATAAATATATTGTCTGCAATTTGAGAATTTCGAGTCAAAAACGATATGTAAACATCTAGTAGATAATTACAACACTGAATTATCGAGGATTAATTTTATTCTGCTGGTCTAATATTGTTAGGTACCATTAAAAATAAAGTTGTTAAGTGCTAGCGAGTCAGTTCTGATTTACAGCTACCTTCTCTAGTGTTTCCTAGGAGCAGCTGGTCAGTTTGAACCACCAACCTTGCGGTTCAAACCGGTCATTCAGTCCAGTGCTTTATCCTTCAGCGCCACATATTAGATATTTATTGTATGCCAACCATGGTCACAAACCGTATAAAAATCAGAAGATATTATCACTTAGTTTTATAACTATTTCACCCTATTGATAAGACATGAACAAAAGGAATATTGAACAGTAGAAGAAAAATTAACAAAAAAACATACCAAATCATGTTTAGAAACCTAAAATGGCCCAAGAATGGTCATCAAAAAGAGACTAGTGTTTGGCCAAACACATAAATTTTCTCAATAATGTATTGTGATCATTTCTTTTTTCTAATTAAAGAAGTCTTTCCTAAAACTGAAGGGGAAAAACTTCCTACTCCTAACTGCCTCACTCCCTAGCCTCCCTCCCAGCATAAATAGAAAAACCTGGGCTGTTTTTTCATTTGTTGAAGATAGAACTACAAAATGCACATGGGAGCAAGCACAGCCTCTTGGGGTCATGATGTAGGATTTTCATTCACTATTTCTGTCCTTCTTGTTAGTTACAGAAAGTTGATGAACCCAGAGTCGGGGTAGAGAATTAGACTGCAAAATATGGATATCAAAAGGCATGCATATGTTGTTGTTTTTGTTAAGTACCATGGAGTCGCTTCCGACTCATAGTGACCCTGCACAGAGTTTCTGAGGATGTTAATCTTTACAGGAGCAGAAAGTCTCAACTTTCTCCCACAGAACAGCTGGTAGTTACGAACTGATGATCTTGAGGTTAGCAGTCTGATTCATAAGGACTACACTATCAGAGCTCCTAGGCATGCATATAGAAGATAAAAAGAAGTGAGGCCAATAAATCAATCTAGTCTACCTTACTGTTATTTCCATTAACAACTTTACCCTTTTTCAAAAAAAGAAAAAAATATATGTTTAGGGATTTGAAGAATTGGCAAATGTTTTATAACTAGGGCTTCATCTCCATACTGACAGTACCTATGTTGTAATGGAGAAAAGTAGAACTTGTTTATATCTTTGATGTTTAACATCCTGGTCCTCTCTGCTGTTATTGGGTACATGATTCCAGTGTTCTCTGCATTTGCCAGAATACAGACATCTATGTCATCACTATAGCAACTCTTCACAAAACTAGAAAAGGTCACACCTGAAATTAACAAAAAACACCACCATTAATATTATATCATATGTATCACCAACTACAGATACAGCTTTCACAACTAAAATCTCTGATAATAATTCACATCCAGGAGTTAGCTTAAGCTATCCAAAAAATTCCAGGAGCTTGAATAAATTTTTACTTACAATATCTTTAATTATTTAATATATAGACACTATACAAAATACAAGAGTGTTCTACTCATCAAAGTCTTAAGGATAGCTTTTTTTTATTAAAGACTTGATCTAAATTGATCTATTTTATAAAAACATAAACACACACACAACTACCATAGAAAATAAGTCTATGTGGAACATATACAAAGTCAATCTTATAGAAGAGGAACTGCATAAGCTATGATATAACTTTCATTGTAATCCTTGGTGTTCTACCAATCTCAAAGCAACCTCAAACAAGAAACAATTTCCAACTTTCAGTTTCCTCAATTGGATAATAGGAACAATAACCCTTAAGAGAAATGTTATATAGCTAAAATTAAATAATTGCTGTGCAAGCTCTTCAAAATGTATAAAGCAGTAACTTTATAAGGAATGTCTCACTGTCATGGTAAACCACCAGTGTGGTTATCAATGCCCAAGCAGATTGTTAAGTGAACATCAATCTCTAGACCAAACTGTACTGTACTGTTGAAATAACTTCAGACTGACTGCCTTTAAAGATACCATGCACTGATGCACATAACTAAGTTCCTTGGGTACCCAAACATCTTACCTTGAAGTTTCATGATTCCTGGAACTGACTGGTAGTTCTTCACTCTGTGCCATGGTTCCTGAGGCCACTGGTTTAGTTCTGAGGTGAATCCAGGCCACAAAATACCAACTCGACCCCCTCTTGGATTGGAAGGAGCACGATCGGCTGATGTCAAGTTGGCTGAGTAAGGCTTGACTTTGTCTTGAAGGCAGTCAAAAGAGGAACTGGTGGCTACAATGAGTGAATTCCTAAGCACAATCTGCACATTTTGAGTGGAGCTCTGTGAAGCCGAAGACACATACACTATTGCCAAAAGACCAATAGCATTATCTACCAGAGTGATATTCTCAATCTCCACACTATTCTCTACATGGAGCATGGCGCCATAATCAAAGTTCTTGAAAGCCAGGAAGCCCGAGATTCTAGTACAGTTGTCCAGTCCATCTTCCTTATAGAGATGAAGGCCATGAAGACTTGAATGGACAACATTATCAGACCAAAGCACTTCAGTAAGGGAGCACCTGTGGCCTCGGATGTGAAAACCAAGCCTCTCGGAACCTGCCACAACATTGCCACGAAGATTGAGGTCCTTTGCCTGGTTCACCTTAATTCCTGCCACCCAAACAGTAGACCACACTGACTGCATCGTCAAAATCACAAGGTTACTAGTGAGAGAATGGGCCTGACCTTCTAAATCAATGCCATGGCCAGGTGTGCCAAAAACCAAGTTGTCATTCAAAATGATGCCATGGCTGGCAGTTGCACGAATGCCCCCACTACAGCTCTCATGTACCGTAGAAGATCTTATCCAGGATCCCACTGATACATTAGTGAATTCAATGGATGAAGACTCTGGTGACCCAAAGTTCTGAATTTCCACATTTAAAAGTTGAAGGACACCTACAAAAAAAAAAAAAAAAAAAAAAAAAAGCATATCATCAGGCAGTTTCTTCTTCCTCACAAAGGGTTGAATGAAGGATGACCCATATGTGAGCATTAGAGTATGCAGATTTTTAATTAAGCTAATAGTTTATTCTCAGTACTAGTACTACATTTCATGTCATTGACAAAATGTGAATAATTATACATATCACATTAATGTTTGAAAATATTTCATGTCCAAACCTGAAGAGTCTGGTGATAGAAGAGAGCACAGATGAAGAAAAGAGACAGGCATAATTAGCTCAAGATTCTCTGCATTTGTCTGTAAGGCGGGATAAGAAATTTAATAAGAATAAAAGAAACATGGACTCCTGGCCACTCATCTCGATATCATGTCTCCCTCTCCATGTTTCAGTGACCCCATGTGAAAAGGCCATAGCTATCATCCCAGAGATATTTCATGAGCTAATATAATGGTCAACTCTATAAAGTATTTCAAGCATTTCTGAAGAAAAGCATGAATGTGATAAAGCATACAATGGGAAAAGCAATGAAAACTTCTTAAATATTATCAAACATCTTAAAGTAATAAGTTGTTGAGCCTAGGGGCTCAGAGGACAACATGGTCAATTGGTACAACATAATCCACAAAGACAATATTCTACACGCTATTTTGGCAAGTTGTTGTTGGTGTTTATATTAAAAGCTCATGAGCAGCCATCTGAGGTGCAAATATTTGGTCTTTCTATGTGTGGAAGAAAGAAGAAGAATGAAAATTGAATATACTTGTAATCAACTAGACCACTAGACCAATGGAGCAGGTGAACATCAGTTACCACAATGCTGAGACTAGAAGAAAAAGATGATGCCCAACTACCATTACCAACTGCTTTGAAAGGGATCAAACACATAGAAGGTCCTGAATAGAATGGCAGAAAATGTAGGACAAAATTCAAATTATAAAAATAAAATTTTAAAAAGTTCTGGCCTTTAGTCAGAACGAATCTGAAGGAACTTAAACTATGGAATGGAATTCACCCTCATGGCCCAATTTTCAGCCAAGCAGTAGGTAAGTATATAGTGGGGACAACATCACTAGTAAGGTGTGCTCACCAAGTAGTGGTCAATCATTCAAGATCAAAAGGGCAACATTTACCTCAGGAAAATGTTGAGGAAGGACAGGAAAGTTGGAATGGAAATAAGAACTGCGGGGAAGAAGTAGGATAACTGTTGTTGCATGGAGGGGATTGCAATCCCCGAAATGAAACAAAGTATGTGATCTGTTGAATGTAAAACTGATAATCTTCTTTCTACACTTTCACTCAAATTCACTATAAAAGTTAAGAAAAAAAAAACAAAAAGACCCTGAAAATCAAGCTAACTGGGTAGACAAAAACTGATGAAACCTCAGAGACTACGGTCCTTAGTCTGAAAATGAACTCACCCACATGGTTCATTTTTCGGTCAAACTATAGACCTGTCTATAAGGGAAACAATCACATAAATGAGGCATGTACACCTTAGAATAACCCACCTTTTAAGATCAAAAGAGCAGCATTTACCCAGGGCCAAAGTTCAGAAGGATTAGGAAAGGAGGAGGAATGGAAACAAGAAACGCAGAGTGGCAAAATTGCTATTACATTGTGGATTTTCATTGACATAAAATAAAATGTGTATGAATTATTGAAAGAAAAACTGATTTTCTCTGTAAATCTTGACTCAGTTCACAATAAAAAGTATAAAAAATAAAAGTTTGTTTAAAAAATTCAAGGGCTTTGGAGTCAGCCCCAAATTTGAATCTTATCTCTGCCCGTTACTAGCTGAATGTTTTTTCTTAACAATATTTCATTATTTTATCCATTCACAGTTACTAAGTAGCCTAGTAATCAGTGAGTAGTATGCTAGAAAAAGAAGTAACCCTCAAGATTCTCAAATACTCATAAAGACATTATACAAATAAACTGCAATTTCACTATAGATTCATTTCCCTGTCTATTAAACTAGGGATAAAACTGTTCTTTCACATTAATATTGAAGATTAAGTAGATAATAGGTGTGAAAAGTATCACTGCCCTGGCCAATAGGAAGTGTTCAGTATAGTTTCTCTTTCTCTTGCCTAGGGGTGTTGTACGAAACTCTGGGTGAGCAACATCAGAGCTTCAAGATTGAGTCAATCTGAACATTGGTTCAGCTCTGGCTTGTTACACAGTTATACAAATTATCTTCTCTTCTGTTCCTATGATCAGGACCCATCTTCATCTACAATTTCAGGTACCTGGTACCCTGTCTTGCTATCCTATCCCTAATTCTCTGTTTTTAGAAACTACAGGATGGTCTCATTGCTATAGAACCAGGACTCAGTTTTTGTCTCAGTTTTCCAGAGCAGGGTCTCTCAATCTATGAGATGCCATTTGTTGTAGGAGTTGTCCTGTTCAATGTACAATGTTGAGCAGCTTTCCCAACCACTACCTACTTGATAAACAGTGATGGTGTAGTGGGTTATGTTTGCGCTGTTAACCACAAGGTCAGTGGTTCAAATCCACTAACTGTTCCACAGGAGAAGGATGAAGCTTTCAGCTCCTGTAAAGATGAGCATACTCACAAACCCTATATGGGGTTGCTATGAGTTGGAATCAACTTGAGGGCACACAACTTTCACCATAACCACCACCTACTAGATGCCTGAAGCAATCCCCAGTTGCAACAAGCAAAAACATCTCCAGATATCGGCAGATATTCCCAGGAGAATAAAATCACCATTACTGAGAAATAAGTAGATATTATGGACGGAGAGCTTTCTAATGGACTGAAAAGCCTGAATTTTTCATGTCCAAACACTGTCCTTTACCACACTGGAGAAATAGATGTATATTGATACATGCTCCATGCTCAATATATTTAGGAAGTGGTTAGACCTTTATTCCAGGCCTTCTCAGAATCTTTACTATACTCATGTATGTAATTATCTTCTAAGATTGAGCTACATACAACTAAGCCTTTCCCAAATTTATCTGGTCAGGAAACAACTTTGTAATAATATTTAGAGAACAGGAGTTTAAGAAAGAAGGTCCTAATCAATAATTTTGTGGCATTCCAGAAGAGCTAAAACTGGAAAGTAATGAGAGAGTTTAAACTGATCCTTACAGCAGTCTATAATATGGAAATCATTTTTATTTAAATTTATGCTATTAATTTATAGCATGAACTAATGCCTGCCATCAGATATAGCATGCTACTGGGAAAGAGTAATAGAAATTCAGGAAAGAGATAAAATTCAAGTGGTCATTAAATCATCTATAATTTCAAAGTAGAGGAAATTTCACATCTGCTGAAGATGTTTTCTAGGAGGTAAAATGTGCATATGTGCTGATCACTAGTATATTATTTTAACATCACACTGATAATTAAGCACAGATAAGGATGGAAATGCATAGCTTGTCAGAGCCCTGAGGAACCATCTAAGTAAGACATTTTGTTTTATAAAGTGAAGTCTCACATTTGGAACTTCTGATTGTCCCAGATGAGTGGGCTTCAATTGGTAATGCTTACTTGCTACCATTCAATCAACTTCAACTCATAGAGATCCTATAGGTTTCTGAGGCCACATATCATTACAGGAGCAGGAAGTTTCATCTTTTTTCCCATGCAGAGTTGAACCGCAGACTTTGCAGTTAGCAGCTCAAATGGTTAGCCCACTTCGCCATAAGGCCCCTTGTTAATGCTTATTAACTTAGAATGGCACATACCTGAAAATTCTTCTCTGCCTGGCATCTGAAAGGACCCTACAAGTACTCTTCCTCTACATGAAGTATCCGACTGGATCTGTATGTTCCGTGTCAACAGTCCAACCTCAGCAGCCAAATGAATGTATTGGCCATCTTCTACAACATGGACACTTCCTGGGAAGGAAAAAATACAGAAAACAAACAAACAAACAAAAAACTATTTCAGAAACTGCTAGCTGGGGATCTGGCAAACTTGATAAATGAAAACACTCCTTCCCTTTGGAAGTTCTACCAACATTAAGGTCTGCTTTTCCTCAGGCATTCTCCACAAACGTCAGCTGAGAAATGAAAAGCCTGTTCACGTGTCTCTCTTTGGGATCAGAGTGAGAGTGTGTGAGCAAGAATTCATTTCTTCGAAATAAAGGTGGGTCCTGGGACAGGTCACTGGTGCAGGAAGTCAGGGCAGACCTAGCCAATTAGTAGGGTCCCCAGGCTGCTAAGTGGATCAGTGTGTAAAGATGTACACATTGCCTGGTTCTTCGTTGTCTGTGGACCACTTTCATAGGAATGAGGAATCCAGATCAACAAGGGTGGCAACAGTGCCAGAGAAGTAATGTATAAGAGGAAAAGACAATAAACTCAGCACTTCTGAACAATCTTCCTCAGCAGTGAGACCTAAACTGGATCATCATTATTTTGTTTCCCTGCTTTCTGTTTGCACTTTATCTTAGATCTAACTGGCAATGATCGCTAAAGATTTCCCTTTTCTTGGCCCATTACAAAGTCAAATTATTCATGGAGTTCTGATTTAGAAATAGGTTTGGCTATCTTCTGTTGAAAATATATATTATTTCCATATTTTACTACTTATCAGCTCTATATTGTGAGTCAGAGTTATACTAAACCAGGAAGCTTATAGTTATTATTTATATTCAATATATATTTTAAGCTGTATATAGTATATGCAAATGTTCAGTTTTTTGGTTTTTTTTTTTAATGAAAGGGGTTTGGCTTTTGTGTGTATGTGTAGTCATAATAGTTGCAGTCATCAATACATAAACTGTGCTTCGTGTCAGGAGGAACACATGCCTAAAGATGGAAAATGAAGTCATTATCCACATAACTGCCAAATTCTAAATGACTGCCTGGTTCAATGTGCCAGGAAATGAATTGGAAATGTATTGCCCGTGAGTTTTATTCTGACTTAGCCATGCAACTACTCAGTGACCTTAAACAAGAGGTCCAACCCTTCTATTTTGACACTTACCATTATAAACAAAAAGAAAGAAAAAAAAAATTCCCTCACCTGCAAGTATTCTTTAAAAGTTACACACTAAAAAATAATGAAGAAATAGAGATAAAGCCTCCTAGGATGAGTCTAAGGAAGCAATAAGGTACTATCCATCCCTCAGAATGGCAATCAAATCTAAGTTTCCCAGGCAGGTTGCTGAATTTGTTCTTCCTGACTCATTTATTTCTCGTAGCCAACAACCCAAAGTCTTACCAATGTGCCGGTGTTTGAGATGTTCCTGGATCCTAATGTGGTGGCCTGTGACTTCTTTCACAGTGAGGACCTCTGCTTCATGAGGCTCATATGAGGAGGAGGTTAGGATGATTTTGTCATGGGGTCGCCAATCCACTGCATCTTCTACTATAATTCTGTAACACAATACAGATGGCTTTAAGCATACTTCTGGTGAAACACAAATCGCCTACAAGCTCCACAGAGAGAAATGGACATCCACTGTGGCAAACATCTGCTAGGGGACTGAAGTAGGTATGGCAAAGAAAAAGAGCTTTTGGAAAATGTTGAATTCTAGTGGAGTCAATCTCTGGTTGACAAGTTTGTGCTTTATTGACTATGCAAACACTTTACACTGTGTGGATCATGATAAACTGTGGACAACATTGCAGAGAATGAGTATTCTGAAGCATTTAATTGTGCTCATGAAGAACCTGTACATAGACCAAGAGAACAAAGGGACACTGAATGGTTTAAAATCAGAAAAAGGTGTGTGCCAGGGATGTACTCTTTCATCATACTAATTCAATTTGTATGCTGAGCAAATAATCTAAGAAGCTAGAGTATATGAAGAAGAATGTGGCATCAGGATTGGAGAAAGACTCATTAACAATCTACAATATGCAGATTATACACCCTTGCCTTGCTCAAAGCAAAGAGAACTTGAAATACTTACTGATGAAGATCAAAGACCACTTTTTTCATTATGAGTTGTGCGTAAAAGTAAAGAGAATGGAAATCTTCACCACTGCACCAATTAAAACACATCATAAATTGAAACAAAATTGAAGTTATCAGATATATTGTTTTACTTGGATTCACTATTTACACTTATGGAACCAACAGTCTAGAAATCAATTAAAGTGTTGCATTAGGCAAACCTCTTTAAAGTGTTCAAAAGCAAAGATGTCACTGAGGATTAAAGTGTGCCTGACTCAATAAAACCCAAGATTTGGTAACTGATTGGAGCCCGAGGTTGAACTGGGAAAAAGGAAAACAGACTCCAGATCTAGTTCAGGGCTCTTTCCACTAACCAGCATCACCTCTGATGTCAATTTGTCTGATTCTGAGTTTTACACCTGCTAACTGGTATTAGTAAGCTATACTTACTGATTTTTAAAATGATATGATAATTTATGAAAACAATGAAAGTTTTATAACTGAACACTAAGTAGTCATTTAAAAATGCATTGCAGCAAAACACTGAATTATTAGAAAATCTATTCATGATGTACAGTGAAACCTGTGAGAACCAGAACTTGAAGAGATTGTCTTATTTTGGGGGGTCTTGAAAGTTGCTGCCTTTAACAGAGTACACTCTTACCACTTTACTATCACTTGCAATTAGTGGAAATTTTGTCATTTTCCTTCTCTGATATGTTTCTGCCATACACAGATTCCTGCTATAAGTTTACTGTATTATTAAAGAAATAAGGATATAAAAATGTGTCCCATTTATTTGATTAAATATAATGCATATAAAGAAAGCAAAAGGCAAGAAAGATAGATGCTATATAATATTAGCTCACTGAGGGATGGGCTTATTGGTGATTTTCAGTTAAATTATAAATTTTCTAAACAATATATATCATATTTATTTTTAAAAATCTCTTTGGAAAAGAAAATAACTCTATGGATATAAAAATCACACCTAAGTCAATTATCTGTACAAAATTCATAGAAAAGTAGAGGAAAAAAGTTCATAGGAAAGTGGAATTAAAAGATAATTTTTGCAAGATATTTTAAAGCATCTTAATATAATGTAAATGAATCCTTTCCTTCATAATCCACACTACCTGGATACTATTATTATTATTATTTATATTGTTTAATAAAGCTTTTCACACAATAGATCACCATAATGTTCTGGTTAATTACATTAACAAATTAAAAGTCTGCCCTGATATAAGCAAATTTGCCCAGTCAGATGAATCAGCTTACTCTCCTCCAAAAAATTTTTTTCTTATTTGTTGCTTTAAAATATCATTGCCCTTACTTTGCTCTTCAAGTCATTCATTCTTAAAAACTATGTTGATTTTCATTGCCTTTACTCTTCCTATGGAAGTCTATTCTCCACTAAAATGGGCCCATTCCCCATGCCAATTCTGTATCACCATAATTTGACACAACAGATACTAACTACTTCCTTGTGACCAATAATGTACTATTGTCATATGTGGAATGGCAGAATCAACAAACCACCCCATTAGAGTCCTGTACACCCTATTTGTATGGTCTCACTTGTTCATCTGGTGGGAGTTACAAACAGTATGGGTAGAAAAGTCATACCAACTTTACTTATTAAACCACGGCTCACTTGCAAACTACATTGTTTGCATAGGCTACATATTTGATCTTGAACAGCTGCCAATACATGAGTAAGGACACAAATTCTATATTCTAATACTTAGAGTGAAGTGTTATTATAATAATTAGATGTTATTGTTGTTAGGCGTCATGCATCAGTTCCAACTCATAGTAAACCTGTGCACAAAAGAACAAAACACTGTTAGATCCCATGCCATCCTGTTATGTATAAACACATTGATGCTGCCACTTTGTCTATCTGTCTCTTTGGAGGTCTTCCTCTTTTTAGCCTTATTCTTTTCCAAGCTTGATGTTCTTCTCCAGGAGAAGGTCTCTCCTAATAACATGCTTGATATATGAGAAAGAAGTCTTGCCATCTTGGCAAAGGAGCATTCTGGTTGTATTTCTTCCAACACATATTTGTTGTTTCTTCTGGCAGTTCATAAGAATTTTAATATTCTCCTCCAACACCATAATTCAAATGCATCCATTCTTCTATGGTCTTCCATATTCACTGTTCAGCTTTCACATGCACATGAGGTGATTGAAAATATCATGGCTCAGGACAGGCACACCTTAGTCCTCAAACTGATATCTTGGAACTTTAATACTTAAGGGGTCTCATGCAGCAGATTTACCGAATGCAGTATGTCATTTAATTTTTTGACTACTGTTTCCATGAATGTTGGTTGATAGGAGCAAAATGAAGTCTTTGACAACTTAAAACTTTTCTCCATTTATTTTGATGTCAGTTATTGGTTCAGTTGTGAGAAGTTTTGTTTTCTTTACATTGAGTTGCAATGCATATCAAAGACTGTGGCCTTTGATCTTCATCAATAAGTATTTTAATTCCTGGCACACACCTTTCCTGAGTTTAAACCATTCGGTATACCTGTATTCTGTTCAAACAACTGCCTCTTGGTCTATGTACAGGTTCCTCATAGGCCCAATAAAGTGTTCTGGAATAATCCATCCTTTTCCATAGTTTTTCATGATCCACACCTTTAAAAGCCTATGCATAGTCAATGAAGCACAATATCTTTTTGATATCCTCTACTTTCAGCGAAGGTCCATCTAACATCAATAGTGATATCCCTAGTTCTACATCTTCTGAATCTGGCTTGAATTTCTGGCAGTTCCTTGTCAATGTACAATTGCAGCCATTTTTTAATTATCTTTGCTAAAAATTTGCTTGCATGCAATATAAATGATTTTATTCTCTGATTTCTACGTTCTACTGATCCACCTTTCTTTTTTAAAATGGCACCAAGTCTGTTCCCACTCATAGCGACCCTGTATAGCGTTTACAAGGAGCAGCTGGTGGGTTTTAACCATCAATCTTGTGGTTCACAAGAATGTGCTTATCCTACAGGGCCATCTCTTCCAATCAGTTGGTCCCAAACTGCATTCCAAACTTCTTGGAAGTAAGTAACTACAGTGCTGCATCAGTTTGTTGAAAGATTTCAATTTGTATTCAATCAATTCCTGGAACCTGTTTTTCACCAATGCCTTCAGTACAGCCTGGACTTCCTACTTCACCATCAATTCTTATCCATATGCTAATTCTTGAAATAGTTGAACATCAACCATTTCTTTTTGATGCAGTGACTGTGTATATACCTTCCAGTTTATTTTGATGCTTTCTGCATCATTTAATATTTTGCCCATAGGAATCATCAGTATTGAAAATCTAGGCTTAAATTTTCCTTCAGTTCTTTCAGTTTGAGAAACGCTGAGCATGTTCTTCTGGTGGCAAAGCTTCCAGTATCACAGCAACATACAAGTCACCACAGTACCACAGACTGACAGACAAGTTGTGGTGGGTTTGAAATAATGAGATTCTAGCAATAAGCAAAATGAAATATAGTAAGTTCTGTGACTTAAAGACAAGATTCTCATTTATTAATATTCCAGAGAGGCAAATGCTCAATAAGTTCTGATTTGCAAAAAGGAAAGATAAGTTCAATGGTGTTATTGTTTCTGTGTGCCATTTAGAGGACCCCTTGTACCACAGAGGGTAATACTTGGCTGCTAACCAAAAAGTCAGTGATTCAATCCTACCAGCTGCTTTCTTCATTGGAAAAAAGATGAGGCAGTCTATTCCCATAAAGATTAAACTGTTGTTGTTGTTAAGTGCCATCGAGTCAGTTCTGACCCATAGCGACCCTGTACAGGGTTTCCGAGGGTGTAAATCTTTACGGGAGTAGAAAGCCTCATCTTTCTCCCGCGGAGCGCCTGGTAGTTTCAAACTGCTGACCTTAAGGTTCGAAGCCGATTCGTAACCACTACGCTACCACAGCTCCTTAAAGATTAAACTAGAACAGACTAAACCCACTGCTGTGGAGATGATTCCAACTCATAATGACACTGTATAGCAAAGTAGAACTGACCCACAGGGTTTCTAAGGCTGTAAATCTTTATGGAAGCAGACTGCCACATCTTTCTCTAACAGAGTGGTTTGTAGGTTCTAATCACTGACCCTTCTGCTAACAAACTAAGACTTAACCCACTGCACCACCAGTGATCCTCCATAAATATTTGTTGTTAAGTGCCCTCAAGTCAGTGCTGACTCATAGCAACCCACATTACTGTATCCAAAGAGCAGCTGGTTATTTTGAACCACAGAACTTGCAGTCCAAGCCAACCTTGCAGTCCAGCACTTATCCTACAGCACCACAACAGACCGGCCTTGGAAACCCTATAGGGCAGAGTTCACTCTGCCCTGTAGAGTTGTTAATCAATTCCTTAACAATAGATTTTTATTTACTACAAGCTAAGTGAGATATGAAATAAAAATATATATTTTCCCTTGCCTGTTGAAGACACTTGG